TCTCTCTCTCTCTCTCTCTCTCTCTCTCTCTCTCTCTCTCTCTCTCTCTCATATGCATGTGTTGTCATGGCACTTCTGCCTGGATTTATGCACCCTCGCTAAGGCAGTTTCTTTCCTTCTCATTTCTTTTCGCAGCAACTCATGGGTATGCATGGGTGTAAAAAATCTGACAGGTTTTCGTTTGTGGAGGTTAAGGGCTGCATAGGATCATCCCTGGTCTCATGGATGGCGTACAGTGCACATGCAGCAGCACCATACCCTGCATTACTTCCTGAAATTATATCAAGAACAAAGCAAAAGCAAAAAAACACATCAGCTCATCCGAAAAGCTACAGTATACTGTTCTTTTTTTTTTTGAAAGGGCGACAGCCTTGAGATGTCATCATTGAACTGACCGGCCCCCAGGTAATTCAGAATTGTAGTATAATTATTAATTTTACTCAACCGCTTCTTGAGGAGTTCGAACTCAGGTGCATATTTGAGCTAGGCCACGTGGTAGGTACAGCATACTCTGTGTACGTCACTTCCTTTTTCTTTTTTTTTTTTTATCGTCTGACTGTAACCTTGAGAGTAGCATCTGAAGCGAAAAACTCTAAACCCTAGAGATCTGGGAGGCAGATGACCCATTGACCGAGCTATTATCGGGAGCTTGGCCCGTGTATCTTGATGGGGAGTAGTGTGATGGGTAATCGGTGTTAGGATTTAGCATGGTGTGAATGACGTGGGTGTGTTGGGTTTCTGGTGTGGGCATGAGACCTGGAGGATGGGAGAGTATTTCAATTGACGAGGGTGCGTTCAGGTGATGTTTGATGGTGAGCGGTGGTTGGAGGGGGTGGGTGCGGTGGTAGGTGCTTAGGGTGGGTTGATAGAAAAGTTCATAGAGTGGTATCTGTTCCATTTAGTGCGATGGGGGATAGATTGTTTGTTACTGTGGGTTGTGCTGGAGTGGTGGGATTTTGGGTTTTTGATGTGGGCATAACTAACCAGTCTTGTAAGCGCAGTCTTTCTCTTTCAACTGTTCTTAGTTTCCCGTTGCCTAGAATCAGGGAGATTAATTTATTAATGATCTCTTGTTTCTTATCTGGGGCATTTTGTAGGGATTGGAGTTTCGTGTATGTTCTGTTCCATTGTGCTTGTAATTCGGTTTCGACCGTCTGTTTAATGGCTATGAGGGGGTTTTCAGGGGTATTACTAGAAACCTCGAAGGTTGCTGTGCATCTCCTTTTCTAGATAGCCCAGAGGGTCGATTTTTTGATGAGTGAGAAGAAAAGACGCTCAAAACCTTTGAGGGGTGGGTTTTGATCTACCTCTAGGAATAGGGTGCTAGGGTTGATCGCGATGGTTTTAATGGAGTGTTTGTTCCAGGTTAATTCTATATCGTGCCAGAGTTGCTTTGTCTTTGGGAAATCTATTGAGTTGGGTGTTGCACACCCTGCACCACGATGTTTGCTCAGTGTCATTATCTTCCTTTCTTCTTTGCGATAGCCAGCGATTGACGGGTAATGCACGAAATCTTATGAGCCATAGCAGACTAGCTAGTTTGGGTGGTCCTGTGCCAAAGATAGAGGTCCATGATGGGTTGATGTTGACCGCTGTGATGGTATTTTTCTCCTTTTCCCATCTTTTTTGTATGATTGTGCGTATGGACGGGGGTTTGTTGTGGATCTTGTAGCCTAACTTGGGTGTGTAGTCAGTGAGTGCATAGCGGCGTTCTCTTGTGGAATGCGGGCTGGTTCTAGTCCAGGACCATTCAGCTGGATCTATTTCAAGGTGTTTTATTTCTGTTGCGGGTCGGTAGACTCTGTTTCTGTCCCCTTCTATGACTCGGATTCTTATAAGGTGGGCTGAAATGAAGGCCCCTTCTGCCCTTGGTTCTTTGCTAATGAAACTAGCTGGGTTTCCTGGTTCCTGTAGGGGATGGATGGAACAGAGTATCCAGTTCTTATTCTGTAGGTTGCTGTTTGTGACTCTAAGTATTTCTGTGGGTTGTATTTGTTCTCTGTTCGATGCCCAATCTCCCCACATCCACTTTTGATTAGTCTCCAATAACTGGCGCCATTCTAGAGGCATGCATTCGATGATGTGAGTGATGTTGGCCTGCAAATTGTGGCACCCTTTTAGTAAGTTCCGCAGATCCTTTGTTGTCTTCCAGTTGTTTGTTGGTTCGTTCCAGAGATGTTGCACTTGCCATACGCCTTTCTCTATCCAATATCCCCATTTGATGTCTGTTTTGGTTAGAGAGAAGCTGAGGCCATTTTCGTCTTTGATCCATGGATTGCCGAAAAGGGGTTGTCTGAGAACTTCGT